TAGCCAAGTTGCCACACATTTTGGGGGGGACACAATTCAATCCCTAACAGTCTGGTTGGGCAAAAAAATTAATACTAATACAATATAGCTAAATAAAAATGTGGTTAACAGAATAGTGGGAGAAAAATTGGAAAGAAAGATAGGATGGGGCCATATTTTTGAAGGCTTAGAATGCATACTGTGCTAATCTCTTTACAAACACAAATCATTTTTATATTGACGTCTGCCCTGTGAAATTATCTCCATTTTACAGCTGAGGGAACTGATACTCAGAAAGGTGAAAGGATTTGCCCAAGATCACACAGCTAGATAGTGACAAATTTGGGATCTGAACTCAGCTCTGTCTTATCCCAAAGACTGTGCTTTTTACATGAGGTAAACTTTGCATACAGTGAAATGCACAGATCTGAAGTGTACATTTTTGAGTTCTGACAAATGTATATATCCACAAAACCGACACTCCAAACAAAGTATAGAGCATGCCCATCATCTCATGTCCCCACCCAGTGGACCCCAACCTCCCAATAGGCAATCAGTGCTGTGATTTCTATCACCATGAATAAATTTTGTCAGTTCTGGAACTTCAAATAAATGAAATCATACAGTAAGTATTCTTTCATACTATCTGTTTTGCATTCAACATGATGTTTTGAGGTTCATCCATGTTGTACTTGTTGGAGATTGGTTCTTTTTATTTGTGAGTAGTACTGCGTTGTAAGAATACAGCTCAATTTGTTTCTCGGTTCTCCTGTTGATGGACATTTACATTGTTTCTACTTTGGGACTGTTACTTACAAACGGACATAAACATTCTTATACAAGTCTTTTTGTGAACATAGGATTTCATTTCTCTTGGGAGAATGAAATTATCGGTCATAAATTAGATGTATATTGATATTTATAAGAAACGGCCAGTTTTCCAAAGGAGTTAAACTCTTTTACATTCCCATCAGCAATATGAGAGTTCTTATTGTTTCACATTCTTTTTTTTCAATTTAAATCATTTTATTTTCTTAGTTGATCAAATTTTATCTCTTATGAAGATTAACTTTTTTTTGTTTCGCATTCTTGATAACATTTGGTGGGTTTTTTTAATGTTAGCCATTTTACTGGGTGTGATTTTCATTTACCCTCATGATTAATGATAGTGAGCACCTCTTCTTGTGCTTATTGGCCATTCACATCGTTTTTTGTTTTTGTGAAATGTCCAAGCTTTTTGCCCATTTTGTTGGTTTGCTTGTCTTCTTTAAATTGAGTTGTGGGAGTTCTTTATATATTCTGGTTTCAAATATGTGTTATGCAAATAGTATTTCCTAGTCTGTGGCTTGCTTCTTAATTTTCTTAATAGTGTCTT